GTCTCGAAGCTAGAGCCAAGGCCGCGAAGCTCTGCTTGCCTAGAACGGACTGTGGATGTGAACAACAAGCCTGGGGGCCACAGGGCCTGGGTCCCTGAGCACACCTGGCCACTCAAGAGGAAGCTTTGTTGGAGGAGGTGACAAGTGAGCTTGGGTTTGAAGGACAGCAGGAGCCCATGGGGTAAGAAAGGCTAGGAAAAGGCTTTGCAAGCAGAAGAAAGTCAAGTACAAAACTTGGGGCTGGTAGAGCCTGGATGAGAGGGGAGAGGTGTGCAAAGGGCTCCTTTGCCACATTAAAGGATTGGGATTCACTGGTTACAAGTTGAAAGCCATGGGGTTGGAATCGGCTGGTAGAAGCATTTCGCTGGGTAGGCTTTTGGGGGTTTTAATTTGAATGCATGTGGGAGGAGTAGCGGTGTTCTCCCGTCTTTGCCTTTGCCTTAAGCCAGCTTTGCAAGTTTGTTACCACTGTGTACTTGGAGGGACTTGAATTTGTCACCTTGCAAGGTGGAGGGGACCCACTGAGGCGTGTTGCAAAGAGGAAAGTATGATCAGATGTTTCCATCAGAAAGCTTATTCTGGGGCTCCTTTTCCTTCATTTGGATGCCCCAGGGTGGAACATCACTTGCTACCTAAGAGATGCCTGGTGGACTGTGTCAGTTTTGGTTTCTTAACGAATGGGAAATGAATAGAAAATGATAGCAGAGGTGGCCTATCCATCCAGGCCAGGATGGCGCTAGGTGAGGTCCTACCCTGGGGATAAAAGTGTGCCCACAGCTCATGCTCCCCTGAGTGTGGAGTTCACATGGTGTATCTTTCCAAGAGTCGTCCAGAGTCAGTGCCATGCCAGCTTTAAAATGCAGGCCCAATTATCAACCTGTTGAATCAATATCTCCTGGTGGAGCCCAGTCATTTGTATTATAAACAAGTGCCTGTTAGAGTTTGAGGACAGTCACAGGCAGAGTGTTCTGGAAGTACAGGATGCTTTGGCCCTGTTTCTGTTAGGGAACCTTCCAGGAAAGCAGTCCAGGAGCTGCCCACGTGATAAATTGATAAGCTCGGCACACAGTTATTTGGCAATCCCACCTGGCCTATCACCTTAGCACAGGTATATCCTCTCATTTTGTCTTCACATCACCTTCTGGGAAGTGGATTTTGTTATTTACATCTTCAGCAAAGAGAAAGGGAGAAAGAGAAAAGCTGGGTGGCTTGCCAAGGCTGTGCAGGCAGATGGGCCTTGGGATGGACCAGCCTCTTAGGGATCCCTCCTGGGCTTCCTTGTCCTTGGATATCCAAGTTGTCCTTCCTGCCCTGGTTAACACACTTCCACCTGCTCACAAACCAAAGCCTCCCCAGAAACAAAGAGAAATTAGAAGTTCACTTGCGCTTTAATTGGAAGTCCTGTGCTCCTGTGGTTCTCAGTTGTTGGTAAGTATAGAGTTACCTGGGGGCCTTGCCCAAGCTCACAGGCCCAGACCCTTGCCTCCTTCAAAGAGCCTGGCCCCTAGTGTTTTACGAGCTCTCCAGGTGATGCTAATACCCTTCAAGTTTGAGAAGTGTGTCTCCAGCGTGGGTCTCCACCAAACCAGTTTTCTGAGATGGTGCAAAGAAAGTGTTCCGGGTAATAGGGAGCTCCTGGAGAGATCTCTGCAAGGGGAAAGGTGGATCTTGTTATTATCGCTTGAAACCACCTTGTGCTTAAAAGCAGAGTTTGCTGGCCACAGCATAAGTAAGCTTAGTGCGAGGAGAAGGGCTGTGGAACAGGTCTCTGAGCCCTGACTGGCAAGGATACGTCATCGGGTGTGAGGATTTTAGGCTGGAGAAGAGATGAGTGAAAACAGAAACAAGGGTAAGGGGAAGGACGGGGGGAGGACAGGGGGTGCAGGCTGCAGGATATGGAGAAGGAAGTACTTTGGCTCAAACATCACCTGGGGTTCTTGGGCCTTCGTGAGGTGGGGACACTGATGGAGATAGAAAACTCATGGATCCCAAAAGGAAAGGCAAGGTTTAAGGACATGTGTACCTTTCTGGGATGAGGTCTCTGGGGCAATGGTTAAAATAATGGTAGGGTCTGTAGTTTGCTGACTTGGGCATAAAACTCCCCTATCAAAGAGCTCCTACTTGTGTGGACTACTGTGGTTCATGTCATTCCCTTGAGCCTCTGCTATCTCATCTGTAAAGTGAGAGTAATGGCAGTCACCCCCAGTAGAGCCACTTTGAAGGTTAGATCGGGTGGTGCTAACCAGGACCTAGACCAGAGCCATGTGCTGGCATCACAACGAATGCTTCCCGTGTCCCTTCTTCCCAGCTCCTACTATTCAAAGTGTGTCCCTCAGCTGTTGTGTGAGGGCTGTCGGCAGCGTCTGGCGTGGTCCTGAGACACTGATTTTAGCTCCCACAGACCACCCGGTGGTGTCCCAGACTGGAAGGCAGATGATGGAAGGTTGAGGAATATCGGAACCAATGTATAGCCAAGTAGATCTGACGAGAGGGTTGGTGTACCCCAATGCTACACAAATTAGGGCTAAATTTTAGGGGTGCTTTTGCCTTTGGGGAGCAGTGTCATTTACAATAGACTTTGCCTATGTAAAAGGCAAATTTCCTCTTGGCGTTGCTGCCTACTCACTTCTTACCAGAAGACACATTTTCTCAGGAGAACACATTTCTTTTAGTTACCACATTTGGGTCCCCATTTTCAGCTCCATCAGCTTGCCCAGAGAGGCTGTAACTCCTTAAACAGTCTCCCCACTCCCATGGCACTTTGGGGTCTTATTGCCTTCTCGCTTCCTTATCTCATCCTGATCCCTGTTTCCTGTGTTCCCAGCTGAGGCTGGGTAGATGATGAAGACTAGTGGGACCGTGGTAACAGTAAGGACTTCCATGACAAGAAGTCTGAGAGCCCTTAATCCAGCCTGAATGGGAACAACTGCTTAAGTCCTGGCTCATGGGCTCATATGGCTGATGCTACAAAGGTGTCCAAAGAGCTGTCATATCTTTTATTTTTTTTTGTCAAGGTGACATAGGACAAAGACACTCAGTATGTGAGCCCAGCCCTTGGTGATGGTAGATCTGCTGTGGAGAGTTTACCACCGCCATCTTGGCCCTTCCCACTCGCTCTGCCGGGGATGATGAGTACCACCTTTTGGAAGGCAAAACCAAAGGAGCTCCACCTGTTTCTGAACTGTCCATGCTATTCAAGTATCTTGAAGGACAGTGTGACCTACCTATCTCCAGAGTTGAGGAAGCCATTAAAATGAAGCTCTTTCTTGTAGGAGAGGGAGTCTGGGCCAGATCAAAGCTTTTGCTTGTACAGCAAAGGGTTAGTCTAGATCTATACATCCATTAAGTTCAGTTTCTTCCCCAATGTATGTTCCTAACATTGGTGAGTGAAGTTCTTTGTACCACTGTTGATGAAGGCTCAGCTCGGCATCCTAAGTCAAAACTCGGCACAGTTTTGTCCTGGCCAGTGCTTCACCTCCCACAGCCAATATCCTTTTCAGAGTTCATCTCCTCACTGACTTGGCATCATGATCACAATTGTGCCTATCCTACTCATGGACGATGTTAATTACCTGTGTGCCCGGCACTGTGCTAAGGATAGAATGATGAAGGCTGACCTGGGCAGAACTGAACAAGCAGTGATATTAAGCATCATTCAGAGAAAGTACAGGTTGCTATGGGAACATCTCAAGTAGACTGAACATGGTTTGGAGCAGTGGGATAGTGTTTAGTACTTTAAAGCACAGCTGCCATAATCTGTAGAAGGTTTTGCACACTTGGGAAGGATGTTACTTAGAAAATAAACTTGGAGTTGTAGCATTTAGTAGATGGGGCATATGTCTGTTTTTAGAAAGGGATCTTGTTATCTGGCTACTTGGGAATTGACTTAAGGAATGAGAGACAGCTGTTGACCTCAAATGGCCCTACCTCCTGGGCTCTTGCATCTAACTTGTTTCATTGACTCTTTGAGGCTTTAAAAGGGTCTTATCTGGCATGTCTTCAGAAATAATATTGATCTGAATAGTCGAAGTTCAGAATATGATCCAGGGAACTTGGTAGAAATGAAGAGTCTTCATTGTCAACCCAAACATACTGAACCAAAGTCCAGGGGTTTGGCTTCATTATCTGTGGCCTAACAGTTCCATTTGCTGATTCTGATGGACTTAAAGTTTGAGCAGCCCATACCGAGGCTATGGTTACTAGTGAGGGATACCTTAGGCAGGTGTCACAGTGAGTGAGTTGAAGGCATTTATAGGCAGCCATGTGAGACAGGAGGATAGAGGGATTTGGTATCTGGTATGGCCAACTGGGGGGGAAAATAGGCAAAACACTTGGTTTATGTTCTAGGACCTTTTCTATAAAGGAAACCTTTTCTTTAAGTAGAAGCTCTATGGACCATATGGTCTCATCATGACTATCACTGTGCCATTTGCAAAAGCAGCCATAATCAATAAATGAACAAACATGGCTGTGTTCCAATGAAACATTAGCCACAAAACAGGCAATGGACAGATTAGTCCCCAACACTGAGAGTTTAACTGGCATCTGTTTGGAGGGAATGATTTACTCAGTGTTGTTGCTTTTAAGCAGTAGAACGCCACCTTTCATACTTAAAACCTGATAAAGCAGGCTGTAGGTGAAGCTCAGGTTGAGGACCCCAGAGACCACCTGTTCAGTTCCCCTTTCCTCACCATAGGCCCTAAGGCTCTTCCTCAGAACACATTCTAATGGCTTTGAAGGAGCATGCACTAATGTCTGTGCTTGGGCCACTTAGGCATTGCCCTTGACTAAGTAGGTGACTTCCTGAACCACTTTGAGCCTAAAACCCAAGGCTAGAGAGGTGCCAAACCTGAGATCAGTTCTGTCCCTAACCACACCTGGACTTGGGGAGACTCTCCTTTGTCCCAGAGTATGGTCTCTCTTTCTCTGTAGGTTCCAGGAAACCTGCGGGGGGCAGTACAAATACCTGGAGTATGAGTCACCAGGCAGCCACCCAATCCATGGGGGATCGGGACCTCAGAAACAGGAAGATCTTCAGTGAGCTGCTGGAGATGATGCTGGAGGTGAACAGGACCATGGAGGACCACTTTCTGGAATTTACAACCAGGGAAATGCAGGGCCCGCCATTGAACGAAGAGAGTTATGCTCAAACCATCCGTGAGCAGCAAGGCCGTATAAGGGACCTGATGAGCAAGATAGTCAAACTCCTATGGTCTGAAGTCGTAGATAACCTGGGGCTCAAACAGCCTCCCTCTGCCCAAGACTCTAGCATTGATATCACAGGTAGACCGACGGCCCTCTCTTTTAGGCAGCCTGACCAGCCAGATCTCCGTCAAAGGGAATTTGAAGTTGCATTTGTCAGCTACTTCCTTTCCAAACGTGGGAGTGATATTTCTACCTCTTACCACAAGAACTTCCAGAACTATGAAGACTATCAAAGAGATAAATATCATGAGGAAACGAACCCCTTGGTAAGAATGGTGGGGGCAAGAGGGAGGCGACTCTGAGAGCTCTTATCACTGGGATTTACTAAGCCATGTGCCTTTCATCTTCACACTCGTGCAATGGGCACTGTCCTCTTAGAGTGAGGGTGTAGTCGCAGAAATAAAATGAGATGCCCTAGATAGTTGGACAGCTGAGGTCTGGGTCCCTTCTCCTAACTCCCAGCTCTTAACCACAAGGAGCTGTTACTCCGGGCATAGTGATGAGTGAACCTGCTGTTATGGAGTATAGCGTAGTCGGCCATTAGGGAAACAAACTTTAATAATGGTTCCAAAAACACTAAAGGAATGTGCACTTCAGGTAGTCTGGGAATGTGTCTTAAAGTTCGAACCAGCCAGTGGGATGGTGGTGGTCCTCTGGGAAGGAGGAGCAGAATACATAAAAGCTGAAGGTGGGAAGATGCTGGAGTGACTTGGAAAGAAAGCCCATGTGGCCAGAGTACAGACAATGAGTGCTATGGCAAGAAGTGCATGCATAGGTGGACAAGTGTCAAAATGATGCCCTGAGGCTGACAGCTGACAAAAGTTTCCAGCAAAGGGGAGTCACAGCAGCTCTCCAGCCAGAGAGTGAAGGATAGCTCTAGCCATGTCTTCTCCTGTCCCCATCCAAATGAAGTGTAGCCAATGGCCTTCTGCTTTTCTGGGGGCTGGCTCTGGTGTCTCCATTGCACTTTGAGGATTGGCATCTCCGTCACTAACTTGGCCCTTACATGTGATAGTAAACCACTACTGGGGCCTCCAGTTGTTAAAGGTCCAAGTTCTAAGTAGGGCAGATGGCACTCTGCCTACCTCCCAGGGTCATATGGCTTGTAGGTGATCTGCTTCTTTCTTATTCACTCTTTAACCAGGGATCATACAGAACCCCTTTTTTTCAGGACTTATGGCAACTCACGTGAAGCACTTCATGAACATCTGGCACGTAGATAGAACATAATCCAACTACTTATATATGTAGCCCTAAAAGGGGAGGTTTGCAAACTGTAAGATTTTAGGTTTTGGGGAAGTTTTAAAGTTGTCAAGCATGGATTGAATTGTCTTATAGGGTGGTGAAATCTTCTCTTGAATTAATCTGAGATCCATACTTATTGGCATATCTAAAGGGATACATCTAGGGTGGAACAAGAAGGTTAATTTGAATTCCTTCCACCTGCAGGGCTTCCTTAACCTCAGCACCAGTGAGAACAAACTCTGCCTTGATCTGATGACTGAAAGGGTAAGTCATGCTCCAGGCATGTTGGGACTTGTCCCTTTGAGGCCCAGCCCCCCTGACATGTTCCTCAGTATATGATAGATGTATTAATTAGTAGAGCACAGGAGTTTGGGAAAGGGAGAGGAATTTCTAGAACAGCTCACTCCCCTCTTGGTGTTGACCGTGTCCAGCAGGTTTCTGGTAGGTGTATAGTGGGTAGGCTGCCAGGGGAGCTTTGGTGTGGGGACACCATCAAATACTTCTCGATGAGGTGTCTATTTGTGTAATCTATGACAGGAAGACATGGCTCCTTTGTTCTTTAGGAGCATGTATACCCATTTCCCCTTTTGGGAGACCATGAAATGCAGGGCAATATGTAGAAATTTGGAAAGGCATGAGGCCTCTATGGCTTCCCTGGTCTGGCTGTCTTCACTCTCTGTTTGTCAACAGTTGTGTCAGCGTGACATGAACTCTGTTGAGGATGTTCTACTGCAGTATTCCGACTGGAAAGGGCAACCATTGTAAGTGACTTCCAGATCTTGGGTTTGCTGTTTTGCAGGCTCCTGTATTCATCCAGGAAAGGAGTCAATGCATCATATTCTTACTGTCTGTCTCCCCATTTCTTTGGGTGATAACTCTTAAGAAATGCCTAGAGTAAAACTTCATCAGGAGGCAGCCTGGACTGATAGAAATATAACTCAAAAAGCCTGCCTCTTGTCCTACCTTCCACTTACTATCTGTGTGACCTGGGGAGTTGACATGCCTATCAACACCCCTATAAAATGAGGCTGAATTGGGTATCAAAGACCCCTTTAGGTTGGACAACATGCCCTTCAAAAAAAGACTGACCTCTAGACCCTGAATGAGGAAGGGGAGCCTGGGATCCACAAGGTCTCTGTGGGTCTGTCCACAGCCTGCGGGAAGAAGTGGCCCGGTTCCTGTCCTACTATTGCAAGGCACCTTACTACATTGATCCTGAAAATGTGAGTCAGTCCAGTGGAGGGTTGTATTCTTGGGGGACCCTCTGCATTACCTAGGGGATACAGTGAGAACCAGTGGAGACCCTCAGGACCAGGGCAGGATGAAGGCCAATGGATCCCAACTGAAGAGGCTCATAGTGCCTGTGCCTCCCAGTGGCAGGGAAAGAGTATGCCTTCTTACATGGGCACTGTTTTTTGACTTCAGTCTCTTGTGCATTGCCCCCAGGTGGTTGTTCTCAATGGCTGCTGCTCTGTCTTCTCTGCACTGGCCATGGTTCTGTGTGACCCAGGTGGTAAGTCAGTAGGCACATGGGTAGGAGCAAATGGAAACTGGGCCTTGGGGAAGAGTGTCTTGGTTCAAGGCCTTTCCCCCAAAGTGCCAGCCCTTCTACACTGACTTACATATCTTCCAGTAATTTCTGGGGAAGCAAGTATTTGGATCTCCATTTAATATGGAAGAGAAGCATGTGACAGTTCTCAGGGGATACACCCCAGGAATGATGGCATGGGAGCCAAATCATAGCTGGACTCTTGGGCTCAGTTGCAATACAGAGAGCCTTAGTAATTGGTTGAGACTTTATAGATTTCCTTCCTCCTCCTCCTCCTCAAAAAAGATGGGGAGGGGAGAGGCTGATTAGTTTTGGGCTAAATAAAGCTGAGAGATCTGCTCTCAGTCTCTCTGAACAATGCCCAATCAAGCCTTAGATCTTAGTGAGCTCTGGTTGGATGGGAGGAAGTGGCCTAGATGGAAGGATTGGATTCTTGGTTGACCCATCAGTGAAGCCAAATGGGTGGGTAGAGAAAATGTGTGAAATCACCTGGTCCAAATAACAGGAGCCTTCCTTGTGAATGAACCTTGACCACTAATGTTTGACCTGGAGCAAACAAGACTTTGCTAATGACCAGTGCTCCATCTGCTAGCAAGACTAGCTTGATTTGTACCCTGGACTCTGAGCCTTCCACAGCAATATTCCTTCCTTCTCTTCTCTAGTGTATCCCCCAAAATGAAACTAGAGTCTTGTTCCTCAAATCATTCTATAAGAATATATGATTTTTTTTAATGGAGTCTGAGTCTGAGGACATTAATCCCTAGGTAGGAGACACCAAACCAATCTCTTCTGTCAGTAGCTTTGCTGACAATCTGGGTGGGCTATCGGGTTCTGAGAGAAATGGAACTAATGGTTTTGTCCCTCTATGCTTCCAGAGGCCTTTCTCGTCCCCACTCCCTTCTGTGGTGGCTTTGTCTTTACTTCCTCCTTGTATGCAAAAGTTGAGCTGATTTTCGTCTACCTGGAGAGTGAGGTCAGAATGGGCCCCTTCCCTGCTCAGCCCGCCTAGGTAGTAGACTATTCCAGGGGTGCCTATGAAGCATAGGCGGCCTTCTTAACCACAAAAGTGGTGGTTGGGACAGGTGAAGTTGGGGGTGAAGAAGCCATGTGGGCCTGGCACCCTGGTATGAAGGTCTGGGGTGTAGGGGGGTGTGAAATCAAGGTGCAGAAGCTTTCCATGTAGGCATTTTCAGTATGGTTCTCTTGCAGGTCACTGCTGAAAACACCCACCCTTTCCAGCTCACTGTGGAAAAGTTGGAGCTTGTCCTTATGGAAGCTAAGAGTAAGGTAAGGAGGGTGGCTGTTCTGGCCCTGAGAGGAGTTGAGTACTGAGGCTGTGATGTAAGACCTAGTGGGCTTTCTTTATAAGGAGGAGGTAGTGAATGATTCCAGAGGCATGTCCCCGTCAGAGCCATGAGTCCCATTCATGGCTGCATCCCAGAGTGCCCCCTTATCCAGCAGTGTAGGAATTGCTTGAGAACCTACCTAGGCCTCATTACGTGCCCTGTATTGGATGTTCTGACCTATAAAAGATCCTTGGCTGAACTTGGGGTAAATGTAAAGGACTTGTTTCATTCTTGTGTTTGGCTTCTTAGGCAAAAAAAGTCAGAGGCCTCCTGCTATCCAACCCTCAGAATCCCCTGGGTGATGTCTACTCCCTAGAGTCACTGATGCAATACCTGATATTCGCCAAGAGGTATGACTTCCGCTTAAGACTAGATGGAAAAAAAAAAAAGCTTCCCATCATTTGTCCTGAAGAAGTCAGAACTGGAAGTACTTTATCCAATATTTCTACTATATACTTTGTTTTGCAGAGCTACCTATAACTAAATTTGAAATGAAAGGAAAATCACCCACATTTCTTTTGCCATTTCCTTTCTAGACTCTTCCCTCATAGGCATTGACACAGCAATCAGATGATTTTGTCACTCTTCCACTTAGTATAAGCACTTTCTCCCAGCATCCGTTTTCCAAACTACTTGGACTAAGGTGTCAAAGAAGACAGACTCTCAGACCTTGTGTGACAAAGATGTGTTTCTATAGCACTTTCACGTCCCACTCCTAAGAACATGTTAATGAGTTGCCTCTGAAGTCCTGAAATAACCCTATTACTTAGGACAGTTAATCTTCTGTTCTTTAGAAGGAATAGACTATTCAAGCCTGAGATTAAGCCAGAGCAATGAATGGCAGAACATAGGGCCAGGAGAAAGAATGCTAGAGGCTGTGGTTGAGAATTTAACAGAGCTATGTTCAAATACCAGCTCCAGCACCTGTTAGTTGAAGGAATTGTTTACATATTAGAGCCACATTTTCTTATTTGTGATATGGGGATGATGACACTATTTCAGAGGATTTTTTGGAGAACAGAAGAGTTGGTGCTTGTGTGCACATGGCTTACTTAGTGGTACTACTCAATTCAGACTGAGTAGTACTGTCACACAAACAGACACCAAGCATCTCCCCATTGGCCTCTATTTGGTGGTTCAAAGTTTACATAAGATATTAACATGCATGCCTTTTAGGTCCTGTCCCATAAGTATCCCCAAGCCAGGTGCAAAGATTCCTTTTATAACACCTTCTACTTTCTGTGCCTTTTGGAAGGCTGCATGGGCTGCTGGGGTAATCAATCTGATCTGTGTCTGGAACATAACACAATAGAAAGTGAGTTAAGATTACAGAGAAAAGCTAGGTCTTATTCTCCTTCTTCATCTAACTACAGGCACAAGCTACATGTGATCATGGATGAGGTTTATATGCTGTCTGTGTTTGATGAATCCATTAAATTCCACAGTGTTCTGAGCATAGAAAGGTGAGTTTGGCTCAGCTGAAATTGGGAACAAGAACCATGAGGCACTTGCTTTGCAGGGTGAATTTCCTGAGACATCAACTTAACTGGCTATGTGCTAGGGACTGAGTTACGTGCTAACATGGTTGTGGACATGAGCAAAGCATAGTCTTCCCCTCTAAGTATCTTCTAGTCTAAATGCTATTCTGCATATAAGCAAACTTGAGGGCAAGGTAGCAAGTGCCCTATCAAAGGTGAAGACAAAGCCCCACAGCAGGTCAGGTTAGGAACTTTTTTTTTTTTTTTTTTCATTTTGAGACAGGGTCTTGTTATGAATCTCAGGTTGGCCTCAAATTTGAGACCCTCCTGTCTCAGCCTCCCAACTGCAGGATTACAGGCATGTGTCACCACACCTGGCTGGAGGTTCCTTTACTTTACCATCCTTTCCCTTCCCTGGGATGACAATGTGTGCCACCATGCCCAGCTATTGGTTGAAATGGAGTTTCATTAACTTTTTGCCTGGGCTAGCCTTGAACCATGATCCTCCACATCTCAGCCTTCCAAGTAGCTAAGATTATAGGCAAGAGGCACCAGTGCCTCTTAAGCTTGGAGCTTTCTTAAGGGTGGTATTGACCCTAGGGATAGGATTCCAGCAAAGTGTGGGAAGCAAATGGGTGGTAGAAGGAATAGCTTCAGAGGTGGAGAAGTAAAAAATAGGCAAGTATATTCTTGAAATGATGGGTGATCCACATCTGAAGAATCAACTGCCAGGAGGGTGGTTTTATAGCAGGTCTAGGAGAGCCATGAGTCAGGCTGAGGGTCCTGGTTCTTATTCAATGGGTCCTTGGGAGCTGCTCCATTGTGTTCTTCAAGGATACTTTGTGTTGACTTCCTGGCCTCAATGGGGCAACTCTTTCTTGAATGTTGGGCTCTTCAGGCCCTACCGTCTAGGAAGGACTTGTGTCTACTTACCCATTCCCACTCACAGAATCCAAGTCTTCATGCTTCATCTATTTCTCCATAACCTTGATTCTTTTTTTTCTGTTTCTCCAGTTTGCCTGACCCCCAAAGGACTCACATGATCTGGGGCACTAGCAAGGTGAGCCCCAGCTGCCTGTCCTGTATGTCCTGTATGGAAGGAAGGGGAGCCAGAAGTAGAAAGCAAACAAGCTAGATGTTTCTTCTCTTCTCTTCCTCCAGGATTTCGGCATTGCTGGCTTCCGATTTGGTGCCCTGTATACCTACAACAAGGAGGTGGCCTCTGCTGTGAGCTCCTTTGGCTACCTCCACAGTATCTCTGGCATTGCCCAGTACAAGCTGTGTCGACTGCTCCAGGACAGAGGTACTGAGCAACACCCAGGCTGGCATTTGGGCTAGAACTCATGGCCATCAGGAATTCCTAGACTTTCTTTGGCCTCTAACATGCCCTCAAGATGCTGAGACTCGTCACCATCTTGGGCTTAACCATGGCAGGATGGGAGATTTGGAGGATAGCAGGTTGTAGCTCAGATAGTGCAGAGGGTGTAGCTACTAAACACACTTTAATTCTGGATGTCTAGTAGTTCTTGCTGTGCCTGGAAAGGGGAGAATAATCATTCATATGTAAGATCTGAACATAGGGACTTCAGAAGTTAGTCTGTGAACATCTATTTTTCTTCCTCAATGCCCTGCTTGCCTCAGGCAGAGATTCAAAGAAACGCTTTGACTCTTCTAATACAACATAATCTTATTGTCATTATTTGTGGTTTAGATCTATGGCACCTAGATTCACTTTGAACTTCAAGCGGATGCTGGCCTCAGGAGACTTTCTCCTTTCATGCTTGGGAAAGACTCCCTTTCTTTAATTTCCCGTAATAAATGCCAGCCCGGAAGGTTGAAATTAATAGCTGGGACATAATGAAGTAAACTAATGAATGAAACATAATGAATGAAACAAACTAACATCGTTAGATTAGCAGGGTTAGAAAACAATTTGCTTCTAGCTTTGGGAAGGAGGTAGATAGGACAAATCCAACTGGATGCTTTCTACATGGTATCAGGCTCTTTGATACTTGCCAGAAATCAGATCCCAGCCCCTTGAACGCTACTTCTCAACCTTGGATGTACTTGGGAATTACTGAGGTGCTTAAGTACCAATGTGTGGTTTCATCCTCAAAGATTTAACTTAGATGATGGTCTAGAAGTCTAACCTGGGCATCAGGGCTTCTACAGTCTCCCCAGGTTGTTCTCTTGTGCTGCCAGTGCTGAGAACAATTGGGCAAAAAGCATCTCTGGGCATATCTAGGATCCCCCAAGTCTACCATGTGGGATTCAAAGGCAGAAGTTAGGGAATTTTTTGTTTTTCAGTAATTTATTTTTTAAAAATATTTTTAGCATATATCAGTTATACGGGGGGTTTCATTGTGACATTTCCATATATGCTCACGCTGTACTTTGATTAGGTCCTGTCCCCAGCATCGTTCTTCCTCATCTCCTGCCACCTAATGAAAAATGATTGTGACAAGTTTCAGTGTTCTATTTTCATACAAGTATAAAAAAATCCATCAACCATATTCACTGTCCTTTACCTTCTCCATTCACTGACCCCCTCCCACCAGTATCTTCCCCAATAAGGCTGTTTCACATTCCTGTACTTCCTTGTTTAAGTGTACATTCATCATTCAAAGGTGTTTTGCCATGCCATTTCACCAGTGAATGTATTGTACTTTAAGCAGTGTAATCTCCTCTATTATTCTTCCTTACCCGTTGCTGTTTTGAGTACCTGTTAACTTGCCCAGTAGACAGCAGCAGCATCAGTTCCCTTCAAGGGATAGCCTGCCTTCTTGCTTCTAGGATGTGAACTCAATGGGAACATTCCTGCTGGACTATTGGGCAGTCCATCTTACCTTCCAGAGCCATAGATAAGAGATGGGTGTGTTGGGTGGATACCATGAGCACAAATACAATAGTTAGTCTTGGGTAGAAATAGCTCAAATGAAGCCCAGCTAATATTTGGGAAGGAACCCTCTGGCAGACTTGCCATGAGATCTGTGACAGCTGTCTTCCTCTCCCATCCAGAGTGGATCAACAGGATGTACCTGCCGGTTAACCACTGCCGGCTCCGGTTCGCTCATAAGTATGTCACTGACCAGCTGGAGGCGCTGAAGATTCCATTCCTCAACCGAGGCTCTGGCCTGTACATCTGGATCAACTTGAAGGAGGTGAATTCTGGGAACAAACACATGCATTCTTGGACAGACCTGTCTCTAGGATCTGGTGCTCAGCTCTGTTCCTCTGTCCTCCCTAGTACTTAGAACCATGTACATTTGAGGAAGAGAAGGCCCTCCATCAGCGCTTCCTGGCCCACAAGCTGATGTTATCCCGTGGCAAATCCTTTACGTGTAAGGAGCCTGGCTGGTTCCGCCTCATCTTTGCAGAAAATCACCAACAACTAAGAGAGGGTGAGTGATGCAGACTTTCTGGTCCTGGAATCCATTAAAAATACCCTGTCAACTTCTCTCTAGCTCAACCCCTCCCTCTCTCCTTCTCTCCCATGTCCCTATTATGTACCAGATGCTGTCCTACCTGCTGGGAATATGGCAGTAAGTCATTCTCATGAAGGTTTATGTTGCAGAAACATATTTGGTATACTGTGGAAAATATTCTGAGTGAAGCTAGGTGTTGCAGCTGGGAGGCTGAGGCAGGAGGGCTGGACACACACACATACACACATACACATACACACACACACACACACAAAGATAGAAGAGTTAAGAGGAAAATAGAGCCAGAATACAGGGTTTAATATGACACATAGAGCTGTCTGGCAGGCTAAGACAATGACGCTCAAAAGAACCATCAGGGACATAACAGGTTGACTTAGAAATCTATTCCAAACAATGGAGGGCTGAACAAGAGGCTCTGATGGTCTCCGATGACCTGGTAGGTCTGGGCCCCACCTGCAACCCCACTAAGTCTATTTCTTTGCCCCCATTTGGACCTTCTAGGCATGCATCGGTTCTGTCAGGCTCTACAGGATCAGAAGGACTACTGGGTAACGAAAGAGTTGGAGAGCGCAATGAGGGAGTAGGCCACCTGCCTCCCAAGCAGCACCCTGGCAGGACAGCCATGTGAAGGCCCCAATATCAGCCCCTGGTCCAGAAGGCTGTGACTGAACAGTGACTTCTCTGGGAGGGGTCTCATCTGACTCACCCGTCAACCTCCTAAGCTGAGCATCTGCCATCTTGGTCTTTGGAATCTTTGCATATTTTAGCTTTTGCTAGCCATTGTGTATGCACAATGGTGTTTTTATTGGGATTGGGGTGGGAGGGCCTAGAGGTACCTGGAGAGGGATAAAGGGAGCTCTCTGGCTTCTTATTTAGATGGCTTTATTTTTATATTTAATATCTAATAAATCCGGTATTCTCTTAAATTCCAGGCCTGTTTTATTTCTTCATTCTTTATAATGACATTTGGGAGTGAGATGATTTTCTGTTTTTTTTGTAAGTTCTAGGGCAGGTTGTATATAAAGGATAGGAAAGAAAAGCAGCGACCCCCTATCCCCCCAACTGAGGGAGCCCTTTCTAAGTGTCAGATACAACTACTCTGGGGACTCTTACAAGGTCACATCTACTTTCCTACAACCTGCTACGGGGAAGGGTGGGGTATAATTGCACTTGTACATCCAAATGCCAGAGTTGGTTCTAGTTTTGTCCTTCTAACAGGCTTTCAGACAAATCTTGGTGACAAGTTTGTATCTTAGTGTGTTCAGACAGCTACAACAAAATACCAGAAGGTGGATGGCTTGCAAAGAACAGAGTTGTTTTGCATAATTCTGGAGGTAGGCAAGTCCAATATCAGGCCGTGGTACCTGGCAGCAGGGGTGGGGGACTCCCTCTGCCTTCATGGCCTAATCACTTCTCAAGGGTCCCATCTCCTAGTGCCATCATGCTGGCGGTAAGGATTTCAGCATATGGACTTGGGCAGGGTCACACACACTCGGAGTCTCCCATTTCCATCTATATCTTCAGCTGTCAAATCACATTCACTGAGTTTCTCTGTTGAGCCTGTGTACTTGTGTACTGAGGCTATTTTTTTTTTCTTTTATTATTCATATGTGCATACAAGGCTTGGTTCATTTCTCCCCCCTGCCCCCACCCCCTCCCTTACCACCCACTCCACCCCCTCCTCTCCCCCCCCCCTCAATACCCAGCAGAAACTATTTTGCCCTTATCTCTAATTTTGTTGTAGAGAGAGTATAAGCAATAATAGGAAGGAACAAGGGGTTTTGCTGGTTGAGATAAGGATAGCTATACAGGGCATTGACTCACATTGATTTCCTGTGCGTGGGTGTTACCTTCTAGGTTAATTCTTTTTGATCTAACCTTTTCTCTAGTTCCTGGTCCCCTTTTCCTATTGGCCTCAGTTGCTTTAAGGTATCTGCTTTAGTTTCTCTGCATTAAGGCCAACGAATGCTAGCTAGTTTTTTAGGTGTCTTACCTATCCTCACCCCTCCCTTGTGTGCTCTCGCTTTTATCATGTGCTCATAGTCCAATCCCCTTGTTGTGTTTGCCCTTGATCTAATGTCCACATATGAGGGAGAACATACGATTTTTGGTCTTTTGGCCAGGCTAACCTCACTCAGAATGATGTTCTCCAATTCCATCCATTTACCAGCGAATGATAACATTTCGTTCTTCTTCATGGCTGCATAAAATTCCATTGTGTATAGATACCACATTTTCTTAATCCATTCGTCAGTGGTGGGGCATCTTGGCTGTTTCCATAACTTGGCTATTGTGAATAGTGCCAATAAACATGGATGTGCAGGTGCCTCTGGAGTAACAGTCTTTTGGGTATATCCCCAAGAGTGGTATTGCTGGATCAAATGGTAGATCGATGTCCAGCTTTTTAAGTAGCCTCCAAATTTTTTTCCAGAGTGGTTGTACTAGTCTACATTCCCACCAACAGTGTAAGAGGGTTCCTTTTTCCCCGCATCCTCGCCAACACCTGTTGTTGGTGGTGTTGCTGATGATGGCTATTCTAACAGGGGTGAGGTGGAATCTTAGTGTGGTTTTAATTTGCATTTCCTTTATTGCTAGAGATGGTGAGCATTTTTTCATGTGTTTTCTGGCCATTTGAATTTCTTCTTTTGAGAAAGTTCTGTTTAGTTCACTGCCCATTTCTTTATTGGTTCATTAGTTTTGGGAGAATTTAGTTTTTTAAGTTCCCTGTATATTCTGGTTATCAGTCCTTTGTCTGATGTATAATTGGCAAATATTTTCTCCCACTCTGTGGGTGTTCTCTTCAGTTTAGAGACCATTTCTTTTGATGAACAGAAGCTTTTTAGTTTTATGAGGTCCCATTTATCTATGCTATCTCTTAGTTGCTGTGCTGCTGGGGTTTCATTGAGAAAGTTCTTACCTATACCTACTAACTCCAGAGTATTTCCTACTCTTTCTTGTATCAACTTAAGAGTTTGGGGTCTGATATTAAGATCCTTGATCCATTTTGAGTTAATCTTGGTATAGGGTGATATACATGGATCTAGTTTCAGTTTTTTGCAGACTGCTAACCAGTTTTCCCAGCAGTTTTTGTTGAAGAGGCTGCTATTTCTCATCGTATTTTTAGCTCCTTTGTCAAAGATAAGTTGCTTATAGTTGTGTGGCTTCATATCTGGGTCCTCTATTCTGTTCCACTGGTCTTCATGTCTGTTTTTGTGCCAGTACCATGCTGTTTTTATTGTTATTGCTTTGTAATATAGTTTGAAGTCAGGTATTGTGATACCTCCTGCATTGTTCTTTTGACTGAGTATTGCCTTGGCTATTCGTGGCCTCTTGTGTTTCCATATAAATTTCACAGTAGATTTTTCAATCTCTTTAATGAATGTCATTGGAATTTTGATGGGAATTGCATTAAACATGTAGATTACTTTGGGGAGTATCGACATTTTTACTATGTTGATTCTACCAATCCATGAGCATGGGAGATCTCTCCACTTTCTATAGTCTTCCTCAATCTCTTTCTTCAGAAGTGTATAGTTTTCCTTGTAGAGGTCTTTCACATCTTTTGTTAGGTTTACACCTAGGTATTTGATTTTTTTGAGGCTATTGTAAATGGAATTGTTTTCATACATTCTTTTTCCGTTTGCTCATTGTTAGTGTATAGAAATGCTAATGATTTTTCTATGTTGATTTTATATCCTGCTACCTTGCTATAGCTATTGATGATGTCTAGAAGCTTCTGAGTAGAGTTTTTTGGGTCTTTAAGGACCCAAAAAATAGGGATATTTTGCAAATAGGGATATTTTGACAGTTTCTTTACCTATTTGTATTCCTTTTATTCCTTCTTCTTGCCTAATTGCTCTGGCTAGGAATTCCAGTACTATGTTGAATAGGAGTGGAGATAGTGGGCATCCTTGTCTGGTTCCTGATTTTAGAGGGAATGGTTTTAATTTTTCTCCATTAAGTATAATGCTGGCTGTAGGTTTGTCATATATAGCTTTTATAATGTTGAGGTACTTTCCTTCTATTCCTAGTTTTCTTAGAGCTTTTATCATGAAATGATGTTGGATCTTATCAAAGGCTTTTTCTGCACCTATTGAGATGATCAAGTGGTTTTTGTCTTTGCTTCTGTTAATGTGGTTTATTACGTTTATTGATTTTCGTATGTTGAACCACCCCTGCATCCCTGGGATGAAGCCTACTTGGTCGTGGTGAATAATCTTTTTGATGTGTTGTTGAATTCGGTTTGCCATTATTTTGTTGAGGATTTTTGCGTCAGTGTTCATTAAGGAGATTGGCCTATAGTTCTCCTTTTTGGAGGTGTCTTTGCCTGGTTTTGGGATAAGTGTAATACTGGCTTCATAAAATGTGTTTGGCAGTTTTCCTTCCCTTTCTATTTCATGGAACAGTTTAAGGAGGGTTGGTATCAGTTCTTCTTTAAAGGTCTGATAGAATTCAGCAGAGAATCCATCAGGTCCTGGACTTTTCTTTTTGGGGAGACTCTTGATTGCTGCTTCAATTTCATTTTGTGTTATACTATCTATTGGTGATTAATTTCCTCTTGGTTCAGTTTTGGATGATCATATGTATCTAGAAATCTGTCCATTTCTTTAAGATTTTCAAATTTATTTGAATATAGGTTCTCAAAGTAGTCTCTGATGATTTCCTGGACTTCCATGGTGTTTGTTGTTATCTCCCCTTTTGCATTCCTGATTCTACTAATTTGGGTTTTTTCTCTCCTCATTTTAGTCAGGTTTGCCAGGGGTCTATCGATCTTGTTTATTTTTTCAAAGAACCAACTTTTTGTTTCATTAATTCTTTGTATGGTTTTTTTGGTTTCTATTTCATTGATTTCAGCTCTTATTTTTATTATTTCTCTCCTTCTATTTGTTTTGGGATTTGCTTGTTCTTGTTTTTCTAGGAGTTTGAGATGTATCATTAGGTCATTGATTTGGGATCTTTCAGTCTTTTTAATATATGCACTCATGGCTATAAACTTTCCTCTCAGGACTGCCTTAGCTGTGTCCCATAGGTTCCGGTAGGTTGTGTTTTCATTTTCATTGACTTCCAGGAACTTTTTAATTTCCTCTTTTATTTCATCGATGATCCATTCTTCATTAAGTAATGAGTTATTTAGTTTCCAGTGTTTGCATTTTTTTGTCTTTACTTTTGTTGTTGAGTTCTACTTTTACTGCATTGTGATCAGATAGTATGCATGGTATATTTCTATTTTCTTATATTTGCTGAGGCTTGCTTTGTGCCCTAGGATATGATCTATTTTGGAGAAGGTTCCATGGGCTGCTGAGAAGAATGTATATTGTGTAGAGGTTGGATGAAATGTTCTGTAGACATCAACTAGGTCCATTTGATCTATTGCATATTTTAGATCTTGGATTTCTTTATTGATTTTTTGTTTGGATGACCTATCTATTGATGATAATGGGTGTTAAAGTCTCCCACAACCACTGTGTTGGCGTTTATATATGCTTTTAGGTCTTTCAGGGTATGTTTGATGAAATTGGGTGCGTTGACATTGGGTGCATACAGGTTGATAATTATTATTTCCCCTTTTATTAGTATGGAATGT